GGATCAGCCCCTCATCCAGCATCGGCATCGACTCTGTGCTGGGTGTTCTGCTGGGTGTCAGCAATGAATCAAGTGGGAGAAAAGGCAAGAGAACAGACCTGTGCTCAGATCATTCATAACGTTGTATGTCGATGCTTTGTCCAGTGGAGACACGCGAACAGTGTACTCTGGTGATATATTAGAAATATAAGTGCTGAGTTTTACCTGAGGTGTATGGGGAAGACTTATTAGAAGAAATGAAACTTGAATTGCCTTGACAATGAGGAGGTAGGGAAGGTGTTTCCCTTGCAGGCAGAGGGAAAATTTGTGTGTGTGTTAATCCTCACCTGAGGATATTTTTCCATTGATGTTTAGATAGAATGGAAGGGAAGGAGGGGGAGAGAGAGGGAGAAACATTGATGTGAGAGAGATAAATCATTTGGTTGCCTCCTGCACAACCCTGACCACACGACCGCAACCAGGTCGGGATCGAACCAGAAACCCAGAACAAACCCACCACCCTCTAACCGCTGAGCCAAATGGGCCAGGGCTCTTGGGTCTTTTAAATAGGAGAGTGAAATGACCAAGTTGTTTTGTTGCTGTACTATCTACCTTGTTAAAGCATGAACTTGGGATAGAGGGAGGCTAGGGGCCAGCTAAGAAGGTGTTGCTATCACTCAGGGTCGGAATGAGTGCGGGGGTCCTGGCTGCAGAGGAAGGGCGGTTGGAGAGTCGTTTCAACCCATAAAAGGGCAGCTCGCTGTCAGCGTTCATGTAATTTTACGCAAACACCCTTTTTGAGGCTGAAGCAGATCTGACTGGTTTTGATTGCGAAAATAAAATGTAAAAACTGTTCTCGGAGTTCTTCCTAAACAGAACTTGTCTCTGATGCTAATGTAACAGAACCGTACACGGTGCAGCCGCAAGCACCCCTAGCGAGTAGTCTCAGGCAAACAGGAACTGGGCCAGGAGATCTGAGCGGTTCGATGACCCTTTGGGGGGGCGTGGTAAGTGGCGAATCAAGGGTGATCCTGAGGGACTAGCCCGAGGACTAGTGGGGATGACCCCGAGGAAAGGAAATTCCATACACAGGAAGTAAGAGGTTTCAGTGAATGGGAGTCCATGAGTCCACTTTCCAACGTGCCGAGTTTGAGGACAGACGTGTACTGCCCAATGGGACTCTGGTAGGGATGTTCTGTGTCCACTGTCCACTGCCCACTGTGGAAACCACTAGCCACGTGTAGCTGTTGAGCACTGGAAGTGTGGCTAATGCTCCTGAAGGACTGCGATTAAAATATTACTTAATTTTAAATAATTTAAATGTAAGTAGCCATGTGCGGCTAGTGGCGACCCTATTTGACAGTGCAGATCTAGAAAGTGTTGGTTTGAAATACTGCAGGAGGCAGGGTGATTAACCTACGTGGGACTGAGAGTTCCCAGGGACTCTGGACTCTCCAGGGCTGAACTGGGAAGGTCCCAGGTGAGCTGATTGGTTTTGTTTTTGTTTTTGTTTTTTTTTACCCTAGCCAGAGGTGTTACCTGTCTGTAATTATCAACTTTAATTGTTGTGTGTGCAATCCACTGCTTCCTAGGCTGGCCAAATCGGGATCTGCAGCTTGGAAAGAAAACTCCCCTCTCTTGGAATTTAGGGAGTTAGAAAATAGAAAACCAGCATGATTCTTGAAATACGTGCTCTGCATGATTTTCTCCTTGTTTTCTCCACATCTTGTTTTTTGTTCCATTCTATACTTTTAGGTAGTGATTCCCCTCCTTGCCTGCACATTCCAGTCCCCTGGGTTGCTCACTTCTAAAAATAAATATGGATGCCCAAGGTCTACCCTAGACTAGTTAAACCAGAATCTTGGGTTCGGGGTGGGTGGACAGGGGGCTAGACAGTCACATGATTTACCAGCTTCCCAGGTGATTCTGGGGTGCAGCCAGGATTGGAAAGTACAGCTCTTGGACTTGCTTCCACTTCTTTGCCAAGCTCCAGTCGATCTTTAACCATTTATCTCCTCTGACTTGGTGGAGGACAGTAGTGTAGGGTTTCAGGGATGTTCTGTGGTGCCATCTTTCAGACCATATATGACAAGCTAAGCCCCAGACTGAGGGCGTTACAGAGCAGCCTGACCTCGTCATGCACACAAGATTTGGTGTGCTTTGCCGTACCAGTGTAATGCCCATGGCTAACTTGATGTACCTAAGCACTCCTGACTGACATGTGAACTCACGCCTAGTAACAACGCTATGAGACGCATATAATCACTGTTCCTATTTTCCAGATGAGGAATATGAGCCCCAGATTAACCAAGCTGTCCAAAGTCCCCTGGCTACTAGGTGCTTGGGCTGGGATTAGGCTGCACTTTTTAATTACTGTGCTACGAGACCTTACGGGACCTGTGGACCGAGAGGTCCCAAGAGATGATGTCTTCCCAAGCTGTGGCTATTTTTCTTATGGCGGAGAATTGGTCAGATTCATCTGTTTTGTTTTGTTTTTGCATTGGTTAGTTCAAGATTTGCAGGCTCTCTGTCACCAAATCCCTTGAGCTGTGCGGCTGACTTAAGATTTTCGGACCGTGAGCCAGTCCTGAAGGCTTTTCTCTGGGAGCCTGAGTGCTGCAGGGAAGAAGTAGCTGCACGATGCAGGGGCTTCAGTTTCTGCCAGTTTTGCTGAGGACAGTTACACATGTATTCACTGTCGTGTGTTCGTGTGTGTACATACTGCTCAGAGCAGTGAGCATGGTTTTCTAACTTCAAAGAAATAAAAATATTAGTAACTATTTTTTTTCCCTTTTATGCCCTATCCCCCAAGTGACCCCTTCCCTCTACAAGTGGTTGAATTCTTCTCTCACTTTTCACCTCCTTTCCCTGTACCTGGCTTTATTATTATTTTTTTAATTCACACATAATCACAATAAAACATATTTTCTGTGATTTCCATTAAGATACAATAGGTGAAGGGTTCTTAATGAACCTTTTTCATAAAGACCCAGTAATTGGGAGTCTATAATGTTTCATCTAAATTCTACTGGCAATATAATGGAAGGAATCATATTGGTATTTTTAAAAAAGACTTCAAAGCCATTATCTGATGTTTTAAATACAAAAAAAATTTTCTTAATGTCAATATGAGATCATGGTTTTATAAGCCTTTATTGTTTGTTCTGTACGTCTGTAAAGTAGGTCAATAAGAATAGAGTGGCAAATCAATTTAGATTTTTCAACTTCATCTACAGATACTTTTAAATGTCAAGTAAACTAATGCAAAGTCTCTCAATAAAGTATATATTTTTCAAAGCAATATTAGATATAGTAATGAGATTTGGAATTATGAGCCTAGATTACTCAGTGGCATCAGTGCATATTTTTAGCATCTCTTAGTTCTTGTTTCTTTCTTGCAGAAAGGGAGGGGGGCTTTTTATTGACTTTTCAGAACTAAGAACAATTTAGTTTGTACTCACTGATTGGGGTTTGTGTGGTGGAGGCCGATGGGGAGCTGGTGTGCAGAGAGCGGCATTCTGTGGTCAATCAAATCTTTCCTGTTGAAAATGCAATTTTTTAAAGGCCTATATCTTTACATGTCTACATTCAGCTGTTTTATGGGCTAATTTTCAAGGATTCTTTTTGGGTGTGGCTACCGTAAAATTGTCTGTTAATTCTTATTTAAATGGTTATGGAGTGCTAATAAAACTTCTAGACATTGGTGTTGTCCATAAATATTTGTTCATTTGAATTAGATTTTAAGATTTGGGCCCTACCATCCCAGTAGCTATTCTAAACCTTTTGGGTCATGATTGGAAGAAATAAAACATGTCCTTTGCTGTGTGAATTGTCTGTTTCTGGGGTGCTCTCTGTTTCTGTAGTTAGAATCATACACTTCTAGAATTAATGACCAGATATCTGGGATGTTCTTGAAGACTCTGGTTTCAGATTTTTTATTTCTATCTTTAGGTTATTCATAGAAATAGAAAGTTTTGTTTGTCTTTTTTTTTTTTTTTAAGAAAAAAAGTATGCAAGTATAAAGTCAAAGTATAGAATTCCAGTCTGATGATCTCTTGGTATCTGGGAACCACCAAGGTGCTGGACTGGGAGGGGGCAGCGGTTCTGTGAGGCCCACCCTTCGACCCTGTGCTCCATCATCAACCCCAGATCATTCACTTTCCGTCAGTCATATGCTCTGAATGTAACCTTCTCAACTGAAAGGAGATCTAAAAATGGTGCTTTGGCTACAAGATGAATGTGGGGCGTTCAGGTTACTTTATTTTTATGGCAATAGAGGGTTTTAAGTTGAAAACTGCTGTGTGTTTTCCCCTCATATAGTTGGAAATATTTCTGAATAATTCACGTATTTTTCCAGCCTAGTGAATCTGGCTGGTATCTGGTCATGGCTTGGGCACTGATGATGTCGCAGGGCCTGCAAACAGGTGTGCTTAGCGGAATGCTCAGAGCATGGACATTTTGCTCCGTGGATGATAAAGCAGATGTGGGACAGTGAGTGGAGTGTGTAAACTTCCTTTACTTCTGGCAGCTGATTTTTATTTTTTATCTTTTTGGTACGTGCCCCTAGTGGGAACTGAACCCAGGACTCTGGTCTGCAGGCCGAAGCTCCAACCGCGGAGCCAAACCGGCCAGGGCAGGCAGCTGATTTTTAAAACAAACCTCTGATTACAGCACCGCAAGCTAATACTGCTGGCAGGAACTTTCGGGAGCACCCACCTGCCAGGACCAAGTCCTGAGTATCAAAGAAAAATGACTTGTCATAGGTCACTTAAGGCTCATAGGTCTTCCTAATGACCTGGGGAGAACCGAAATTCGCTGTGGTGGGCTCACATCTGCTACCGCCTCTTTTTCTTCCTTCCTCTTAAAGGCAGAAGCCCTTCTTCTGTGTCCTCTTCTGCACCCCACCCCCAACCTAGTAAACAGACAGTAGCATTTAGTTGGGTTCCCAGGTTCTCCTGCAGTAAACTTTTGATCGTGTTATAATGTTGCTTTCCTTTTCTCTCTCTCTTTTTGTCTTTTAGCAATAGGCGAATATGAAGACCTTAGAGCGGAGAACCAGAAAACAAAGGAGAAGGTTTGTACTTTACCCTTTCATTCCGTTCTTACTCGTGTAAAAAGCCTAGATGGCATGGTGCATTGTTCTGCCACCGATTTCAGTGAAATGCGAACGAGAGGGTTTTTTTCCTTCTTCTTTTCTCCTGCTTGTGTGGTTCCAGCTTCTATCAGCTCCAGGCTGCAGATGGTGAAGGGCAGCAGGCGGCCACCGTGGGCGCTGCTCGGGGGATGCACGGCACAGCTAATGGGCAGCGAGGCGCCGGGCCAGGCAACTCGAGCCCCCGAGAATTGAACTTTTTCCCCACCATCAGATTTGGGATTCTGGTGATGGAATGGAGGCCTGACTCGTGTACTTTCGGGGTTTAGACATACGAGATTCTGGAGAGAACTGTTTGGAATTAAGCACTGGTGGTTGAGCCCACCTGCCTCCATAAACCTCTCACAGGTGTGCTTCCTCTGAGTCTGAATTATGTGCTGGAAGTGCAGGACACCCAAGGGGAAGATGGAGACGCCTGGTGACTGTTGTCAGGGACTCTGGAAGCTTTATTTTTAAACTGTTAAATAATTGAATTCCACTTACATCTATAAACCACTTACCATGACTGAACACGTTTATTTAAGATTCATGAATGTGTGTGTATGTGCCTGTGTGTCAAAATTTAGGGAGGGGACGAATGGAAGGAAAGGCCATTTAAACAAGGAAAAGTAGAAGGACTGAATAGAAAATGAAAAGTGGCTTAGCCAGTGTGGCTCAGTGAATTGAGCATCTTCCCATGGACTGAGAGGTCTCAGTTCAATTCCTGGTCAGGGCACATGCCCAGGTTGTGGGCTCCATCCCCAGTAGAGGGCAGCCAGTCAATGTTTCTCTCCTTCTCTCCCTTCCTCTCTAAAAAATCAATAGAAACATTAAAACAACAACAACAACAACAAATGAAAAGTAGGAGAGACAGAACAGAACCCTTCATTACTGCTTTTAGACATAAATGAAATTTACTTTTAGAAATTATTTTGTTTGGTAGACCAGATATTTCAAAACATATCTTTGGTGGAAAATTAATAAAACAGGTCCTTCGTGGTTGTTCAAGAAGGCGATCATCATTGCTGTAAAATATGAAATGTCATCTTTACCATTTCAGAGTAAGAACTGTAATGAAAATTAGTAGTGAGCTAAATATTTGTAAAACTTATGGCATATTTATTGGCCTCTTAGGAATCATACTTAGCTTTTTCACTCACATTAATTGCCACCTATATAGCTTTAGTACCCTTGGTGATATTAATGGTAAGTACTTTAGTTCAAAGCAGATTATAATGGATTTTTAGATCATTATTTTTCACCCAGTTTTGCGACTCCTTTGTAAATAACTCTTTGGTGTTCTGTGAAACCTTAAGTGTCTCTCTTCCTGTCATCTGGCAATGCAGGGACTGGTAGGTGGGGTGATAAAAATATCCACGACAGAATGTGGCTGGTGTGGGCGTCTCTAATATGGTAAGGAGGTCACAGAAAATAGTTTGCCAGAATTTTTCATGCTAATACCATAAACACCAAAAATCACCGACGTCCTGAGGATGCCAACAGGTCGGGAGCTTATGCTTAGATCCTGGGTCCCAGGTGCCGTGTAATTTCAAAATGAAGCTAATGGGCAACGCTTAGGCCAGGTAGCTTGAGCTGCTTTTTCATTCTTTTTTTTTTTTTTTTTTAAATTCTCGCCTGAGGCTATTTTTTCCATTTATCTTCAGGGAGGGGAGATATGACAGAGAGGGGGAGAGACAGACAGACACACACACACACACATCAATTGTTTGCCTCCCGCATGACCAGGGCCAGGACCCAAACCCCAAACCACAACCGAGGTATGTTCCCTTGATCGGATTCGAACCCACGACTCTTTGGTGGAGGCTCCAACCACTGAGCCAAATTGGCCAGGGCTTGAGCTTCTTTTTCTAAGATGCCCAATGATCTTCCAGCTGCAGGAGAAAGAACCCGGAGGTTATCAGTCGATTGAGTCCCTTCCATGGGTGTTCCTGGCCCGAGAGGGAAGAGCAAACCCGTTGGAAAGGTTAACTTGGGAGCGCTCTTTGACTTAACCTAGGAGAGATGAGGAGGGACAGCAAACAGCTGTCCTCATATGACAGAAGGGGAAGGACAGAGAAGAAAATGAATAGCACAAGAGGAAGAAGAGTACACTTTTTGTTTCCTCTTTTCTCCTCCTTTAATTCTTGTTTACTTGGAGACCTGGCATTGCCCAAAAATCGTAGATGTTCTATAAACATCTGTGTTGGTGGTGGCGACGGCGTTGAACTGAGAGCCACTTTTTGCAGAGAGGTTTTAAGTGAACCATCTATTATACAAGTGGAATTATAGGTGAAATGCATTTGGTAAAAGAAGGGTTATAAATTATCTTATCCATTAACTGTTTACGTGTTTCTCTACACGGAGTATGGCCTAATACTTTTTGTAACATCTGTATGCATTATTGACCTGCTTCTGTTCTAATTCCTTAAAAATAACTATTAACAGAAATGGGAAGAAAGGAAATGAAAGCAACATGGGTTGCTGCGTGGTTGGGCAGAACAGAATAGAGTGGTTTTAAGTTCACCGCTCTCTGTTTATCTTCTGTTAAAAGACTAGCAGGCTTATTACTGAAGATTTTTCCCCAAAAGGGGGGGCTGTATGACAAAGGAGGGCAACGTATAATAAAAGCCTTTTATACAGCATAGAATGAGTAAAAGCAGCTTTAGTCCCGGAGGTGGCAAACGGAGAACAGCATTTTCTCTGGCAAAGCACTTCCTTGTGCCCGGCTGGGTGAGCTTTGTCTCATCCACATCAGCAAATAAATGTGGCTGTTCCCGCCTCATGGCCCCAAAAGTGGTAAGACTCCACTTGCCATTGTTAATTTGATGTGGGGAAATTTTGCACGAGTGGAAGGGACCAAAAAAATAAACTGCAAGTTATTTCTCCCTCCCCCGTGTCCACGTTAAGTCTGACTGTCTTTGTCGCCAGGTCATGGACCTTATCAGTGGGAAGAGACGGGGTGTGATTCCCTTGGGTAAGATCTTCTTATGCCCCATTTGGAATCTCCTCTGTTGAGACAAGAGGTAGGACGTGAATCACTTCGGAACAGGCTGTTGCTTAAAAGGCTGTGCTTATTAAGAAGTTACTGTGGTTCATGTATATGCACTTGTCTCCCTTGTCTGCTGCTTCAGGCAGCCCCGGGTCAGCTCCATGTCCTAAGAACAGGACCTCGGTGCTTGACAGGCTCTAGATTCAAACATGGGTCTTCTAACCTCCAAGGTTCTTGCTGAAGCAGGTCAACTTCCGGGACCTAATTAACTCTTTCTCCACAAAGGTCTTGGTTTTATTCTCAATTCTTTATGGCTTGCTCATGAAGTTTCCACATGAATTTAATTCCACACATGATCAGACTCAGTGCATCTCTGGATCTTTTTTTAAAAAATCATTTTGTATTTCGAAATCAAAAGTTGTATTTAGAAATCGAAAGTGCGCTTCTCGTTTCTGACATACTGCATTCCTGACATGCCACGTTCCAAGGACAAGAGTCAGAGATTTGAGAGGATGGGCCAAAGTTTTCACGACCTTTTCCTCTGCAGATTTTCCTTTGTAAGAAAAATATAATGTTGATCATTTTGTGGTTTTTATCAATGTCTTTGAGGGTGGAATCAATCTCTTTGAGTTTATAAGGAAAGCTTTTTGAAGGGAAAACTTTCTACTGAATGCCTTCTGAGTACTGGGGTAGGAAAAAAATACGCATCAAGGTCCCACTCTTGAGTAAAACCACTCTAATGAGGGGGATGGGCAAGTTGACAAATAACTGTAATACACTGTGATGATATAAGTGCAGACCTAGAGTTTGGGGATGGGATGAGACAAGGACAAAAAAAAAAAAAAAATAAGGTTCCTACTCAATTCCATGTGACAAACTCTTAGTAGGTTTTAATGCTTGGCCTAAATGCCACTTATTGCTAATTCTCTTAGAAGCAGAATTAATTATTTGCTTCTTTGTAATAAAACATCTGTATATTTCTTATGCGCTTATCACATTTTCTCAACGAAAGTTTATATCAAAATATGTCAGGTACAAGTTGTATGGGTTAGATGAAAATGTGAAAACATCAGTGGTTTTTTTTTTTTAACATCACGAGAAGTGGAGATTATGGAGAGGGTGCTATTTTCTGTTTTTTGCCTACTTTCTAAATAACATTATCAACAGTATGTTAAAAAGTTAGAAAGCCTATCACACTGAAGTCAGCAACTCTACCAAAACTGGTTTTGGGGGGTATGGGGAAATAGAAGACTATTTATTTTGGAATCAACCAAACAAAATGTTTTACTTTGCTTGGGAGGCAGTCACCACATTGAAATGTTAGTCATGCTGCTACAATTGAGGGGCACTCTCTGATGGCTTACTCAGGAGCTTTGTCATAATTGTTTGGGGTTCTCTCCTATATGGGGCAAAGCCTAGCTGAGCTTTTAGTGGACAGCTTTCAACTTTCTAAGGCGTGTGTGTGTGTGTGTGTGTGTGTGTGTGGAGTGTGCATAAAAAAGAAGGAAACCTGTATAATAGAAGAATGTCTGCCTTTAAACAGTAAGTATTTGTGTTTAATATTATGAACTGAGACGGAGTTTTGAAATGAATAAATGTTTAAGTGGCTGATTAGAAGTCGTTTGGCTGAACAACTGTAAGAGTGCATCAGGCCGTTCTGTCAGCTCGCCAGGAACAATGAATGGAAAGGGGGTGAGGCAGACACTCTCCAAGACTTATGTTTCAAAAGCAAGGTATATGATACTGTTTGCCTCTTGGCTCAGTGATCTCTTGTTAAAATTTCTTCCTCTTGTGTAAATTTCAGAGGCGAAGGTCCCAAAGTATGTTATTTTTAAACGATCAATAAAGAAGCCACTTTTTAAGAGCAAGCTATGCGCCCATTATGCTAACTGTTCATGCATAATACATCCACATACATGCGGTTTCTTTAGAACAGAGTGGCAAGTGGTTGTGC